TGTTTTTTCTATTTTGCTGAATATCATTTCTTAGAAAGGCAATTTTTATTGGATGTGTACTTGTGACCGGCACTATACCATCAAAATCACCAAACCAATTTGGGCTGCATGTATAGTCATCACACCAGGTGTTTTCGTTGATGTTTGTTTGTTTATATAATTTGGTGAATTTAACATTCTCTTGCTAAAATTAATCAATATTTATTCGTGATCTTTCATTTCTATGATTTATAATGAAAAAATATACATACATTGCTACCAACAATCCTGCTAAATTAACCATATATATCACAGGTAGCTGTTTCTGAATTTTCAAGAAAAGATGATATAAATTTTTTTTCAGCAGCATCAATTATTTTTTTATCCAAATCCAAGGAATCATAAATGATGCTATTATTTTCTTTCAAATTTTCATAATATAAAATTCCATTGGCTAAGAAATGATCTTTAGATAACTTTTCCCTGTCAACTGACAAACTAATTGTTTTCAGCAAATTATCAACATCATGTTCATAAAGCTTATTTAAATAATAATCAAAATTAGTAAAAAAAACCTCTCAGGCATATTTTGCTAAGGATTTTAATATTTATTTACATTTGAAATTGCATTTCTAATTTTTTTGAGATCAGTTACTAATATTGATGGAATGATAATTTTTGTTGAAGTTAATAGTACAATTCTTGTTGTGTAAGAAATAAATAAAAGTTTTACTCAATACAAATATATATTAAACAATAGATATTTGTTTAAATAAAACTTACTCATAATTTGGCTTTTCCATTTTTTTTTGAATTTTTTCATTAACTCTACTTCCTACTAGTCCTGTTCCTGGAGAAACTTTACTTTCATTAGGATATGGATAATCTCAATATTTCCTATTATCATTATAACTACTTTTATGATAATGACCATGACTGTCACAACTATATACACTATTTCTGGTATAATGAATAACCCTTTCCCTACTATTACAATGATGTCTGGGAGATAAATTTCTTCTTTTTTAAGAACATTTTATAATTTTTTTCAAGATAATAGATAAAAGGTAGAATAATGGTTATGTGACATGTCACATCAATTTATTTTTCTATATTAAAGTAGAGTAACAACAAGTGGCGATAACCACCACCACCATCCTTAAAACACTTACCCAGCCAACACATTTCCACGATTATTTTCTTTACTTCTTCCACTTTTTGTTTTTGCATCTTTCAGCATGTTTATAAAGAAAAAGAAGTTTATCCTATTGGTTTTTTTTTTGGAAAAACAAAAAACAATTTATTTTTTGACAGAGTCCAAGGGCCACAGATCTACATATAAATTGACACGTGATTTCCCCTACCCTTAAATTAATGCATTGTCAAATAGTGCGAATTTAAATAGCTAAAGCTTGAAATAAAACTCTGATTGGACAATTTAAATTTCACGTGCTCCAAATTCACAACAAGGCATGTTATTTATAATATAATGGTCTTTGGAAATAAACTGATTTTTTTATTTTCTTAATAATATCCCGAGAGGAATTACATGTGAAAATATTATTATATTTAACAATAATAACAATTTCGATTGTCTAAAGTAGTGATGTTAGTCGGTAGAAAAACCTTAGCCGGCTAAGAACTTGAATAAATCCCAGTTGATGAAAAAACCTTCAGATGGTACTAATATTGCCGGTATTATTATTGCTACTACTATCTTTATTGTTGTTGTTGTTATTACTATTATTTACTATTGTTATATCCCACCATTGTTACTATTTAAAATGGATCGAATAAAGTTTATTCGAATTATTTGTTCTATTCATTATGAATTCGATATTCAAATTACATTGAATAAAACGAATAAAATGAATGATAATAATTCGAATAAGAATTTGTATTATGAATAAAAACTCTAACTGTTGCTTTTATCCTGCTACAAGAATTGGTTTTTTTTTTTGAGCAAATGTATGTTTATTTGTCATTCTAAGTAATGCATATGGACCCACCTCAACTAAGTGCCATGCTACTGAATTCTGCACTAAAATTCTAGATGTAAAATGAATGTTAAGAGAAAATTTTTTTTTTTCAGCCCTCACATCACTAGTCTGAAGATCATTAGGAAGAAGATGTTTTCCTGCATCAACTTTTTCATCAAAATTGATTACGATGTCTTATTTTTTTTTTTTTTTTGAACCATATTTTTTACCATTCATTACATCATTATAGTAGACCTTCCTCCCTTTTGATGATTATTCCATAGATCTTTTTAACATATAATAAAACTTGTGAAGTGGCAACATTTTTTGACGTGCAAGTTTTCTTTTATTATTTTCAAAAGTGTTTGAAGGAAAACATTCCTATTTCGTCGATTGATTATATGAATGAGGAATAATTGGTTGAAAATATGTATTATATATTTTATGTTATTCATTTGATTGTTGGAGAGTTTTCTTAATTAACCTTTTGAACTTTATTTTCCTTACTCATCATATATGAATTACCAATAAAACTTCTACATATAGGCAAGATACGACTTTGAGGGTCAAATTATTTTCGAATTTATTAATAGCCTGCTTTAAAAAAATTTCTTAAAGATGTATATTATAAAGAAGTTGTATCTCAAATTTGGTGATGTTGCTAGGATCAAACGAGGGTGTGAAGACATTCGATTATGTATAAAATTTTACTACTATTGCTTCTATGACTACCCGGTCAAGCCTCGTTTTAACGAATTTTATATGTTTAACAAAAAAAATCTTTAAAAATTCGTTGTAATGCAAATTTAATTCTAATTCGTTGAAACGAGGTTTGACTGTACTTTTGCTATATCACTTCTGCCTACTTTATTTGCAATTCTGTTCAAATATGTTTAGAGGAATTTTCTATTAATATCTAAAATCTGTTCTATACTAAGATATAGAGGTTCCGATCAAAAGCAAAGTGAGTTTTGAATATTCATTCGATATTTGAATATATACATTTGAATATTTATGAATATTTATGACTATTTGAAAATTCCATCCATTACCAAAAGTCATCTGATGCATTTCGAATATTCATAATTCTTTTTGAACATTCAAAAATGGGGGTCGATTAATGGAAACACTAGCTAGATATGGGAAACTATATATTGTGATTAAGTTCTATGGTATGATAACATGGCCATAATAACTTTTTAGATTACAGGATATTTTTTTATTTTTTTTAATTCGGTCGCCGAAAATTATTTCGTCGACAATCATTTCGTCGACAATCATTTCGTTGACACCCATTTCGTCGAAAGTTTGTTTCATCGAAAGTTCATTTCGTCGAAAATTATTTCATCCTCGAGCCAGAGACCGAACGAGTTAGATGTGAGGAGTGTGGGAAGTTAGTTAAGAAATTAGGTGAGGAAAGCGGAGTGTGTGGGAAGTGTGAGGAGAAATTTGTTTAATGAAGTTTTTTTTTTGTGACGAAATAATTTTCAACGAAACAAACTTTCGACGAAATGGGTGTCGACGAAATGGGTGTCGACGAAATGATTGTCGACGAAATCAATCAGACCCCTTATTAATTAACATTCCTCATAAAGCAATGACCATATGAAAGCTTAGAGTATTTTACACCTTCTCAGCCATTATCAAGTCTTTTATCTAAGCTTTGAAGCGAAAAGATAATGCCGATTTTGGATGACCTTTCTAGAAAGTTTTAATTATAAAAAAACGTCGGAATACGAATTTGATAAAACTATAAAACTTATCGGTTAATTTCGAAGTGCTATTGGTGGTGCTCAACGGCAACTTTTGATTAGAAAAAAAATTTATTGAACGAGTTTGCGTGGCACAACAGTAAGAGCACACCACGAAAGCGATGATTATTGATTGATGAACACTTGGTTCATGTAATTTATTATTATTTTTACTTATTACAATTAACATTAACACTATATATAAAATAAACAAATAAATAAATAAATAATTAAAAATAAACAAAGATTTCCTATGCTATTAATATAAAATCTTCCTCAGTATAACCTAGACCTTTCAACGATTGCTCAACAACATTTATCATATCTATATGTCCACAAACAATTATTTTACTGTTAGGATCAAGTTTAGGTTTTCTCTTATTAATAATAACATTACTATATCTTTCACTCATTGTACCGTCACTACCATGAAATCTAATAATATAATTATCATCATTTACAGATCTTGGATCAGTTATTGAATTAGTAATTAATAGAGGACTTGATGATTGTGGTGGTGGTGTCATTGTTAAATATTCTCGGAATTGTGATTGTTGACGTCGTTGTAGTGGTGGTGATGTTGATGTTGATGATGCTGATGATGCTGATGATGATCTATAATGTTGTTGGTAATTATGACTTAAAGCGCTTTCAGGATTAATTGATGTTCTATAATAACTGTTCTGATTATTATTATTCATCATAATTGGTGGTGGTGTTTTATGAGGTCTTGTATGATGTGGCACTATTGGTGGTGAATTATCATTATCATTATCATTATCATTATTTAATGAACCAACATATGATAAAGAATCATTATAAAGTTGTGATGGTGAACTTGCACTAACTGGTGAATTTGGTAAATTTAACGAATTTGGCGTATTTGGCGTATTTGGTGTATTTGGAGTATTGTTATTTATATTAAATTGTACAATACTTGGCCTTTTACTTCTATTGGATGATGAACCAACATGCGATAAATTGTTTTTAAGTGATTGTGGAGGAGTAGTAGGAGAATTTGGTAAAGTTGTTGTATAATTATCATTATTGTTGTTGTAGTCATTGTTACTGTTGTTATTGCTAAGGCTGTTGTTGTTACTTTCATCATCAATAACAAATTTACTTGATTTTGAACTTAACCAATTTGAAATCATTTCATTATCAATTTTACCATATTCCCCCTTCCAACCTTGATCTGGTATATTTAGTGCATATGTTATAGTTAGCATACCCCTACTACTTATTTCATACTCTTCTAGTTCTACACCGTTAATTATATCCTCTATTCTATGATTGCCATATAACAAATGCATTGTTACTCGTTTATTACGTATTGTTGACGCATGACTACGTCTCATACACAATTCTAAATGATATGTTATCAACTATTTCATTATAATAATGATAATAATAAGTAATGAAAACAATAAATATAGATACATTATTATTATACAATAAAAATCTTACTTGTAACATTGGTGTAATTCCAGTACCACCACAAATCATGAATAATTCTTGCCAATGGCCATCCTGAGTATTAGGATTAAGTAAAGAACTTGTTGATGAAGATATGAATGATGGAGTAGTTCTTCCAGTCAAACTGGATTTTCTATATTGTAATGATGCATCAACAGTCTGGGATAATAATTGTGTTTGTAAATTTTCTCTATCTCCAACATCAAACGGTCCTCTCACTTGAATTTCATATCCTCTTAATTGTTCGTTCTAAAGTATGATAATTAAGTAATTAATAATAATAAATGTATATAATTAATTATTAATTATTTCAAAATCTTACCAAATGTCGTGACATTAATCCATCTGGATACACTTTAACAAAAATACTAAAACTTTTAACAATGTTGCCCTCTATTGGTGTATAGCTTCTAATTACCACTTGTCCTTTAATTCTTGATTGCACTTCAATATAATGTCCCGGCAAGAATTTCAATTTATGATGACGATTTTTATAAGCTTCATTTTCATTTTGATGTACTATTGTGAATGTGAATTTCATCACTGGATATTTTTTACTGCCGTTGATGGGCACTTTACTTGTCAATTTGTATCTGCGGAACTTTATTCTAAATGCAGTGTCTTGTTTAGCCATTTCCTCATCACTTAATCCTCCATCGACTGCATTTGATGGACCAAATATTGGTGCAGGTTGTAATATTGATAAGTCAAGATCGGGGGTTTCTTTTAATTTTGCTACAATCATTGTTGCTATTTTTTTAATTGCAAACAAACTATGTGGGTGTATAGCCAAAGGTGCCTTTAAGAAATATTTAACATTCATATCATCAACAACTTGTGCAACTGAATTTTTTTGAGTTGTGTATTTTTTTGTCCTCTCACGTAAAATATCAGTATATTGCCCTAATATTGATGTTGAATAGCCAGTTGGGATAGATTTTATTTCTGGTAAATCAATCTCCTCAACGATCTCTTTACCTTTATAACCAAAAAAATCATTTGTTATATCTGTTCCTATGACACGTTCAAGAATTTTTGCCCCGCCAGGATGTACCCTAATCCATTTTCTCATATTAACAATAAACCCATCACAAACTACTAAATATGCACCGCGTTGAACACGTTCATTAACTTCACTCCATGTAAATTCTGGCAATCTATCAAAATCTTCTTTGGGAATATGCAATAAAAAAAGTGATTTTTTATCATTTTTCTTTTCATTTTCTTTTTCAAAATTCGACAGGGTATATTTCCATTTCCAAGTTCCTTTAAAATTCCACCAATATTCACCAAATAAAAATGCTATTATTACCATGCCAATCCATATAAAATATGCAATTTTATAATATAATGATTCATATCCATAAAATAAACAATATGAGTCAATTCCAAAATACACATTTACCCAGGCAGATATTAATAAAGCCAGACCAAAAAATCTGTGAACTCTTTTAACAAGCCTAGGATATCCCTGATTAACCGAGACTATTGCTACTTGACCCCAAATTGATATTAGGCCTAATCCAAGTTCAACAAATAACAAAACATATATTGATATTCCCAACCATGAATGAATTGTTTTTGGACTAATTGTTGCCATAGATGCTGCACCAAAACCACAAATACAAATACTACCAAACAATTGTAGAAATCGATGTATCTTGATGTAACTATTGGTATGTTTGTAATATCTTACAATAAAAATAGAAGCAGGAAATACAACACTATTATGGAGATGAAAGGAAATGAAAATTAATATTTTTTTATGATGTGAGACAAATATATTTAATATTAATGTATATTTAACATCAATATCCTACCACCAATTTAATAACATTCCAATTCCATGAGCTAATTTCACTAATCTTTGACCGTCAGATACAGACGATGATGAAATTTGATTATTGTAAAAATCAACCATTGTCATTTGACGATTATTTTGATGATACGAAAATACTGAACTTGTAGGGTTATAAGCCAAAATATCTGAAAATAATAAAAATATTTGTTATCATTATTGTTAGAAGAAGAAGAACAATAAGAAGCATAAGAGAAATCAGCTTGTATATTTTTTTGCAAACTTATCAGCTGACAAATAAATTAATTACATTTCGTTTTTCCTCTTTTAATCCCTTTTCTTCCATTAGGTACTAAAGGTCTTGAGAATTCAACAATTGCAAAATCATCATTATTAGAAAGTATAAAATTGGTTAATTTTAAATCCGAATCATCTCCATCAGGCATAGGAGGCCTGTAATCAGTTGGATTAGATCGATAATTTGATAAAGATGATATATTTCCATTAGAAATCTAAAAAAATTTTTAAAGTTATACTTTTTTGAATTTTTACAAGATCATAAAGCAATTATTTTTTAAAAAATATAACTCACAATTCCAATTACAAAATCTGCTCCAATCATTCCACCATTATCGTCAGGATCAAATCCCTATTTTATTGTTTAAATATATAAAGATATTTATAAATCATTATAATAATCATGACATCATCAACTAAATAACTTACTCACCATTCCAAACCATGCATTACCACCTGTAGTTAGTATTTGAACTTGGAAATTAATAAATTCTCCAACAATTTCATAACCAATAACATATGCTGATGGCCATAAAGCAATACGACCAGGGTATTTTGATGATGAACCAGATAATTTCTGTGGTGGTTGGACTGTCCAAATATTTTGTGGGATTAGTGTTTGAAAAGTATCATCTAAATTACGTAATATAATATCTCTAAATGTTGTTTTATTTCTAAGTGTAATGGTTCTATCATCATCAGTAAACAAGCCATTCTCTTTGTTCTCCCACCAAAATCTATCTGAATTTCTAATAGTCATAAACTATAAAAACGGTAAAACAAGTAATGAACAATAATTAAATAAAATGAAAATAATAATAATAATAAACAATATAAAGATAACCATTTACTTGAGTAATCATACTAGTGCTCATCAATTCACCAAAGTTTGAATCATTTAAATGATCTTCAACTCTTGCTCCAACCAAAGCTTCTAATTGATTAGTTCCATTAGGATATAATTGTTGTAGATAATTCTGTATTTCCTTAACTGAAGTTATACTTTCCCACGAATCTTTCCTCGTTAAACCATATGCCAGACGAACATCATTATATAATCCAATCCCTATAATAAATTATTTTTTAACATTATCTCATATATGTAAATACACACACACACACACACACCAATTCATACCTCTATCTCTAGCTCTTAGAGAATCAAATGCTATAAGATCATAAGTGTTTGGTTCAGGTGATCTAATATTTCTTGTTGCATCAGAATAAAATATATCGACTTCTTCTTGATGCTGTAAAGACAATGATGTCAACAATCTCGCTACACTAAATTTTTCTAGTAAGCTCGTATCTGTAACATTTTGTAATGGTAATTCAATAACTGTATCACCATTTTCATCTTGAATTCGAAAAAAATCACTCATATCACTATGACCATATCTGAATGTTACTGTTGAAAAAAAAACATCAATTCCTGGAGTTAGACCTGGATCATATTTTTGATATGGCGGCAGTTGTTTACCCAGTATGACATTAAGATATTCTTCTACAACAACTTTTTGATAAAATGCAATATTCCATTTCCTCTAATTAATTAAAAAAAATTTATCATTATCATCTCAATTACTAGAAAGTTTTTATTCATCACACTAAACTAGACGAAACATAACAATCATATCGCCCTGTGTGTGACGCTTTATATTATAGAAATGTCAAGCAATTGCTTACAAATTAAATACAAAACTTACTGCCTCTTCAAAATATTGATCATCATTCCATCCGTCACCATATTTTTTATAAAGCTCATCACATAATCTGTTATGTTCACGTAGCCAAATAGTCTGTATGGACATTGTAAAAATATTGTTTGATCGTACTCCGACAGTTCCAAGGACATAATTTCCTGTTGTTGGATCCTTAAATGGGTAAGGATCAGACTCACTTCCACTGGTCTTTAATTTTCCTTTATTACCCTCACGAAGACTTTTTGCATTTTCAGCAGTAATACCATAAATAGGACTCAGGTCCAAAAAAGGTGTTAAATTATTGTAACCATTACGCTTGGATTTTTGTGTAGCAGTAGAAAGAAAATCCGATCGATTGAAAGGAAGAGACCTCAAACTACTTAATTGACCTGGTAATGACGTTGCTGAATTATATGAATATGAGTTATACGTTGCATCATCAGATGGTATATACAATGGATTATCTGGAAGATTGTTTGATGAACTGATAAGATCATAACCAACAAATTCAGCAAAAAAAGTAGTCTAGAAAGAAAATTAAACAAAAAATCAATTAATTCAAAAATCAATTTGAGAAAACAATTGTTAAAAAGAAGATTTTTTACCAAATGACTGGTTCGTCTTTTAGATCGATAACTCATTGCCTTTGCGATATCAAACTTATCTAAACGATAATTTGCTATAATATTAGAGATACATCTTGGCATTGGATAAGTATTAGCTGGTAGTTGATCGGTACAATTAGGTACTGGTTGTACGTTAAGAATATTATCAGAAGGAGTTTTTATCATCGAATCTCCATCTGGACTAATATTTTTCATGAAAGAAAAATAATCAAATCATTAATTGATCATTTAACAACAGCATCAAAAAAATATAGTTACCCAAAAAAGGGATCAGGAGGGTAGTTCCTTTGAAAATTTTGTTGTGGAGTACCAGGAGTTGGATTATTTACATTATTATCACTACCATCTAAAAGTCGAGATTCACATGATAAAGATACTATGAGCAGTAGTATCAGAAGAAGATGGAATTGGGTTAATAAATTCCTTCCCGCTTTCCCTCTCTGATGATTATAAAACATTTCTTCTTCTATTTTTTTTTTGGAGAAATAAATTTCAACAAAATAATTTCACTCTAATGGATTTTATTTATTTATAGATTTTATTTATACAAACATAATAAATAATATTTTTTTTTTTTAAGATCATACAATAAAATAATGTTAGATATTTAGATGGAAGGACAAAATCGTTTGTTTTTGTTTTTATTATTCCTTACAGGTCAAACCCGGTTTTTTATGAGACTCGAGGTTATTTAGGTAAAAAGATTTAATATTACTTTTTTGGTGATAAATAATCGTATGCAACTTTTTCTAATGCAACATTGCAAATAAATAATAAAAAATTCAAATTTATCATATGCAAGGTGTTTCACGAAAACAAATAATTTCAATATTAATGTTGAAATAGTTGAACTTCATTTTAGGAAGAGAAATATCAAGCAAGATGTTGTCATCGAAAAAAACTTTAAGCCTTGATTTTAAGTTCAATACTTATCTTTAAAAATATGTTTATTAAAAATGGGAATGCACAATAAAGGCGTTTTTTCGTAACACAAGAATCAAATTTTTCTGATAGTAATTTAAACAATTTAAGATTATTGATACTCCTACAAAAACCACGAATCTAAAGACCTTGACTAAACGCTGGTTTATTCAACATGGTTGATGGTTAATTACTTCGAGAACTAATCAACTTATGGATACTACAAGGGGTCAGAGTAAAGTTAATCTAAAGACAATATTTATTTATTAATTTCTTTATTTAGACTTAATATTCGATTATCAGCATATTGGCATATTAGGAACCACAATGAAAAAGAATTCAGAATTAACAGCTCTTTTAAGATTTCTTTTTATAGATTGATCAACATCAATTTTATTATTTTGCTGGCCAATTGGGAGAGTTTTAAATAGAATGAAAATGACGTTTTGAGAAAAAGATTTGCATTGTTATTGCTTTTGAAACTTCAAAGGGGAAAGTATCTCAAAATTTTACTATTAATATATGCAAAGTGGGTGGGTGTACTGGACCAAAATAATCTACATTAGAGGTTGGAATCGTCCAAAAAATCCTTAATCAACTACTAGTTGGCCAAAATTTCTTTAGTCGACTATTATTTTAATTGACTATTTTAGTCGACTAATTTTTTTTTTTAATTTGCAAATTACGAATTCATTTCCATTTGAATATTTCCACACAAAATCATGAGTTACAATTCGTTTTTTTAAAGGTATTTTGGAACTACCGCTTAATCATTGGAACTTGAAGCCAATGAAGTATTGGACCTTGCATCGGAAGTGTTTATTCGTTCACATGTAAAATATCATCAACAACACCACCATTATTGTCGTCATCATCATATTGATGGTATTGATACTCTTCCGCATAGAAATTTTCCATTTGAATGATAAAACACAAAAATCGTAATTGGTCAGACAATAATTAGTAATATAGTAGTCGACTATTAGTTGTTCAAAAAAAACTTTAGTCGACTATTTTAGTCGATTCCAACCTCTAATCTACATAAAAGTTACATATACATGAGAATTGTATCAACTCAAAATTGCCTTTTTTGGAGTATGATTTCTTAATTTTCAAAGCTACTACAAATGTAAACTCGATAAGTTGGATGCAACAATCAATTGTTTAAAGTGGTTGATAATAACTGACTTATCAAGTTTACATGTGTATTATGTATAATAATAACAATACATTGTACATTTTAAAATCTCTCAAATATTACCGTCAAAGAGCAATCGAGGGAGTAAATCTGGAAGGAAATTGATAAAATGCCAAAATTATGTTTATATTCAATTTTATTTGTTTGTTATTGTTATTTATTATTTCAGCACAGAAGGTATAGTGCAAGACACAACTTTCTGCGCCACGGCGTCAGTTTTTGAGAAAAAATCTACAATCAAAAATGCAATAAAAATTTTATTGCCATATATTTGTAAAGATTGTCAAGTGTGAATTTTATCTAGTTAATATAAATATTTTGACAACTAATATACCAATTATATTAGGAAAAAGGAAAGATAAGAGATGATGATAATAATTTGTTCGGTTTCGTTATCACGTGACAAAATACCATTCAAAATTTTAAAAATTTCAATTCATCATTTTAATTTGCGTGTAACACGTCACTTTGGGGGTTAACATAGTAAATTTGTTAAACTTGTACAACTTTGAGGCAATATTGTGCCATTTATGGTTCTAATGAAATTTCATTGGAAAATTCCAACAAATTCCAATTGGAAATTCGAGTGTTCTAAATGTGGTTCTAATGAAGTTAACCAATGAAATTCAATTACTATGCCTCACACACGAATTTTATTGGTCAATATCAATTGAAGATCTACATTGGAGCATTACAATGTTCCAATTGCACAACACTGCTTTGAGGCTTAATTCCTCCACAACAATGTGGCATATACTCAAAAGTAAAATTTTTTGAAATATCATGTGATCCACATGTTGGATTTTAAAAACCACCACCATTCAATTCATGTAAAGAAAATTTATCTCATCTTTTATTTTCGTGTTATAATATTTTTGACCAAATTTAGGGATGATTTTCTTTTGATGTAAAACTTTTTTTATTGTAAAGAATGCTTATTATTATTAAAAAAAGAAAAAGGAATAAACAACACAAATAAATCAACATATATTTTGAAGCTGACTGATTGTTACTATAAGCAATTAATTGATTATAGATGATCTATACCATATCAACAAAATGGAGATGTAACTTTATAGAGAAAGGTCTTAGCTTCAAAGTTACATTTTGTTTTTTGGTCATGTATTTCCATTTTTGGAGGAGTTAAAGGATCTGCAAGACCAATAAGTTGTGGGCAGTGTTGAAAATTCAATCGGGGGTATCACGTTACACCAAATTTCCATGTGCACGAAATATTTATTATATATTTATTTATTTTTTTGTGCTGATTATTTACACAAATTAAATTAAAAATTAATATCATTCAGGAATAAATTGTTATTAAAATTTTTTACCAAATTAATTCTTTCAAATACTTTAAAATGTCAAATTTTCCTATGGTCATTGATTTGTCTGAT